AGGAGGATACTGCTGCCCGTCTCCTGTTTCACTTTCTCTCTGTCGGCACAGGTGTCACACGACACCCGCGGGAGGGTATGGGGCAATGGATATCCCTACATTCTAACACCGCCATTACACAGTTAAAATCTTAATACAGTAAAATAATACTAGTTTTTACGGAATTTATCGCGTACATTTTAACTTTTTAAATACCCGACGTTTCGAACGCTTTACAGCACTCATGGTCACGGGCAGGACTGAGATGTTCAACGTCCATATGTCATAGTTAACCGCGGTTACCATAGATTAAAATTTAACTTTTGTTCCGATCTATGCAGTATGAACTTATGGTATCTTGAAGTCTTGCAGTTGTACTTCCCGGAGCGTCGATTCTTCGAAGTCTGCAGTCTGTGAACACGTACAGGATCGCCCCCGTCACTACATCAGATTTGATAGACCGCAGATCCTCGCTAAAGAACACCGATTCCTTCCAAGGATGATTCGCGAGGCTATTGAAATCAAAAAACATCCTAATTTCAATAGAGAGGATGGCTGGGTGCTACCATCTGCTTGGGATCCTATAATAAATAAAATTAAATCCCAACCCAAGCATACAACTGCAAGACTTCAAGACACCATAAGTTCATACTGCATAGATCGGAACAAAAGATAAATTTTAATCTATGGTAACCGCGGTTAACTATGACATATGGACGTTGAACATCTCAGTCCTGCCCGTGACCATGAGTGCTGTAAAGCGTTCGAAACGTCGGGTATTTAAAAAGTTAAAATATACGCGATAAATTCCGTAAAAGCTAGTATTATTTCAATGTGTAGTGTTCGCGTAAATATAAGAAATCATTATCTTAATACAGCTTCACGGTAAAAACTAATAGGTAATTAAACCTACGGTATATGGGCCTAGCTGTCGAAACGCATCATAAACAGAACTATTAATATTTTTATACGTACTAGAGCCATGCTTCAGTTATATTAGTAGTGTAGTTGTACCACGAATGAGTCGGCTCGACCAGGGAAGTACGACGCTCTCACACAATACCAGCGTAAAATAGTAGTTTAATGGAGCTGTGTTTCGTATGGTGAGTGTAGAGAACCGGAGACCCTTTTTACTAGCAACGAGACATCTGCATTTTGTTTTGTAGATGTCCATGGGCCACAGCAACCACTTACCATCAGGTGGACTGTGTGCTCGTTTGTCACCCTATCCTATAAAAAAAGAATACATACTGAGCATAAAAACTCGAATCACTGATTGAAGTGGAATGACTTATGGCGAAAAAAGCTCCACACAATGATACCTAGGTACATAACGACGTGGCCGGCTCACACGGGGATGGTGGGAGAAAATGAGTATTTTTGACTGCCCAATTGGACCCAGCAAGTCTTAACTGTGAGAAGTGGAAAAAAGTTATCAAGACATTTACCCTGCATAGGCTACATAGGCTGAAAATAAAATAATAATGAAAAATGACGTATGGACCCCGATATTATTCAAAACTAATACTACACACGTCATGCTTTCGACGACATATCATGTCACGTAGTTATTGAATAAATTCTCTTTAGTCATGTCTATAAAACATATATTTTATAAAGGTGCTCAACGAGAACACAGTCCACCAGATGGTAAGCTGAATTGAAATGAGTTGATCTAGCCCCGTCGCCTTCAACTATCCTCGACTAAGTAGATACCTAAATATAGATCACCCTTGAGAGCTAAGACAAGTACAGTAGATATCGTAACAACTATAAGAAACACAGTTTCATAATTCTATTTATGCTAAGGTTGCACCTTAATATGCCGCACATTTAATCTACATTTAATCATATAGGTATCCTATTAACAAAGTCAATTCTAACGAGGACTAATATGTAATTATAAAGTGCCAGATTTTACGTCAAATTCCATACTCATCTGCAATGTTTTGCCGCTTGACTGATAAAATAGCCATCTATTAAGGGCGGGAAGTTTATTTAAAAACGGGAAATTTAATTAATAGCTAGGTAGGTACAGTATTAGTACTGCGGGGTAAGGGGTGGTAACAAGGGTACTTAACGACTCTATACTCACCATTCCATTCTTAATTAAGTCTATGACTACATGTAGATATAAAATATCGATGTTTAATTCTAACGAAAACTACCAACATAAATTATTTTAGGTCACCTCATAATCGTTTGGTAACGTCGCTGCAAGGAGCGAGTTCGAATCATTGTGGGTCAGGATGATTGTCTGTATGTATATATATATATATAATGTCTCCACAATACATATGAAAATCCTATCGTAAGGATAAAACAACACTTTTATGTCAGATCAGAAAAATAAAACCACCTAAACTCCTGTCAATTTAAATTTCCAATAAACAAACAATTTATTTTCATTAATCTATTAATAAAAAGAATTTAACTTATCGCTTTCAATCTTTTCATTTACTCTATATCTATTAAAAAGTTAAAACTAAATGACGCGCACAAGTGACTAACAAAATAGTACAATATATACATCATTGTGCTTTAATTCCGTGTCAAATATGTTAAAGTGGGCAAACAGGGGAGGGTTGTGGAAGGTGATGGAGGGACGCCAATTGAAACTAATTGAGACTCGTTGTAACCGCGGCGCGCCTTCTCTCGCCGATAAAATAACTAAATAGCTTATTATATTTTAATATCTACGTACTGGCGCCTTTTATAATTTTGTTGGGAACAATATATCTATATTTATCAATCACTTGTCTTTTGTAGTGGACTTAGGTATGGAGTATATATGCCTTCCAAGTATGCACCACCAGGCGTACATTAAAAGGAAAATTTGCCCATACTAACCAATAATAATAAAAATATAATAAAATAACAAAATAAGTAAAAGCGTGTTGATAGGTACCTATAGTGTAATGCTCCTACCGATAAATAAGTTGTCAAATTTGGATTCGGCGATTTTATCTGGACTCGCCATAGCCTCATCCGTCAATACAGGATACACCGCATGCTAGAGATTGATAAATAGCGTGGTATTTGGAACTTAACTTCATCATCATCATCATTACAGCCCTTCACAAGTCCACTGCTTAACATAGACCAAGGATAGACACACAGCACGGTCCTGAGCCACCTGCATCCATCGACTTCCTGCATGTCTTACCAGTTCGTCACTACATCTAGTGGGGGGTCGCCCTACACTACGCCTACAGATACGAGGCTGCCATTCGAGAATTTTTTTCCCCATCGGTTGTCGGTACTTCGAGCTATATGGCCGGCCCATTGTCACTTCAGTTTACTAATCCGTCGGGCTGTGTCGGTCACTCTGGTTCTACTGCGGATATCCTCATTTCCCAGTTTATCACGCAGAGAAACCCCAAGCATAGCTCTCTCCATATCTTATTAACTTATTCCACATAAAGTAACAAAAACTTATAAAACGATAAGTTGTAAATTATGATTTCTACAGGAAGGTTTCTAATAAAGATCAACCGTATACGTGATAGTGCCACGCTGAACCTATATTGTGGTTGTAGCAAGAACGGATCGGCTCGACCGGAGTAGGTCCGCGCTCTCACAGAATAACAGCGTAAAATAGCAGCTTATCAATGTTGCTGTGTTTCATATAATGCGTGTAAAGAACCCGCAACGGGTCTCCCTTTTTAATGGCAACTTAGTCCTAAAGGGGCCACAGCATCAGCTTACCATTAGGCGGACTGGGTGCTCGTTTGTCACCTTTATTGTTTAAAAAAAAATATTAAAGCGAATACTGACTACCGCTGGTCGGAACTAATAAATTTTTATTATTTTTGAACCACTTTCATCTAGTTCATTAAAATGAAAATTATCTATTATTATAATGCACCTACTTACCTAATACATTAATCAATCATTGATTTTTAAGTGCATGTTAAACAAAGTACACAAAATCATTAAAAATAAATGTAAAACAACAATTACATAGGTTCTAATAAATTTTTATGCTAAAATTCAATGTTATAACAATTTTTCAATAGAAATCCTCTCAACGTACTTGCAATAACATTCACTTAAGTCCACAGCGGTTTTCTTATCGCTAAAACTCACCCTACCTTATACATTCCAATTTCACAACGTTATTTAACCAATTAAAGCGCAGCCTGCCCCTTCTGAAGGTAATTCTTGAGCAATTGGCTCAATAAGTTTAAGCGAGGGGAGTCAAAACTTTCTGTGCAACGTCTGGTTGTTTTAACTAACGAACGCGAGCGAAAATGTGAAGCCCTTAAATGTGTTAATTTACTAATCGTAGCTGTGTCAATACGTTTTATTAAATTTTTAATCTTACAAGTCGTGTTTAATACATGATAATTAATTACCTAAATAAATAATGAAACTTTAAATAGCTTAGTATTTTCCATAGTAAATGCTGATTTTTAAGTATTCAGATAAAAGTCATTTATAAGATCAAATACAACATAAATAAATTACAGATGATTTGTATGAAAAAAATTTAATTGTTTAACTTAAATTTTTTTCATACAAATCATTATTTGATGGATAACTTTCAAACTTTCAACGTCATGAATGAAAAATTGACCCTGTAGGTAACAAGCTGACAAATGAGCACACAGTTCACATATACACATCGATATACAAAAACCTTTTGTAGGTATATCAATGCATCTACATCTATCTTCGATCAAAATTCAAGTTGCGGTTGCGTCTAAGATGTAATGCCCAATATTATTATTGGGCATTACATCTTATTTATTATTATTAATCAGAAAAATTGGTCTCAGATTTCCGTCACTCGTCATTCTTCTTCTTCAAACTAAAAAAAGTTCACAGCAGCATTTTGGTGTTATTTGACGTTGGTATTCTGTGCGGCCCGCAGCCGTAATACGAGCCAACCCATTCGTGTTACGACCACAATATAATTGTAATATGAAAGACATAGTATAGATATATAATACTTTATATAATCTTTTTTGTGATTAAAACTGATCCGAAACTGTTCATCTAACAGCGGCCGTACGGACATGTCAGAGACACCGTCGACGCCGGAATGGGACATCAATGACGCAGTCGTACCCAGGGTTACAAGCTTCGACACCTTCGGCGAGTGGTGCGACGGCCATGTGCGGCGCGTGTATCCGCCAGGATGTGAAGAAGCCAGAAGGCACGCATCAGGGTGGGCCATGAGGAATACCAACAACCACAACGTGCATATACTAAAAAAGAGCTGCCTCGGAGTCTTAGTATGCTCAGTCAGATGTCGATTGCCTGATGGATCACGGGTGCATTTACGACCAGCCATTTGCGACAAGGCGCGAAAAAAACAGCAAGGTAATTACGTTTATCAATTTTTTATAATTTAAAACTTTTATTAATAACAATTTCAAATAAATGTTTAGACAACATAGTTATTACTATACTTACACAAAATATTATCTATTTAAAAATAAAAGCTAATAAAGCTCTTTCTAAAAAAAAATAACATACACATATAACAATACCAACAACAACTAGCTAGTAAACTGTCAATTTGAGAATCACTTTTATAACTTTATTAAATAAAAAATACACCCTAAAATATAATGCTTACGAGAATTTATTATACGTAGTAGAGCCATGCTAGTCATCAGGGTGAGCCATGTAGTTATATTACTAGTATAGTTTTAGCACAAATGGGTCGGCTCGACCGGGGAAGGACCACGTACTCACAGAATACCCGCGTAAAATAGTGGTTTAATACTGCTGTGTTTCTTATGGTGAGTGTGAGATCCATCCAAACCATTCCATCTTAGTCCTCAGGGGTGACAATACATCTGCGTTTTGATTCTTAAACGAGGATAGATGTAGAATGTATATCTATGGACCACAGTAACCACTTACCATCAGGTGGACTGTGTGCTCGTTGGTCACCCTATTCTATAAAAAAATCTGTGATGAACACCTGAGTACCAAACTGTATTTAACTTTTATTTTTTTATATTGTTAGGCAAACCGTGTCCGAACCGACTGTGCAATGGCGGTCGTCTTGAAGTTCAACCATGCCGTGGACACTGCGGCTACCCAGTCACGCATTTTTGGCGCCACACCGAGCATGCAATATTCTTCCAAGCGAAAGGCGCGCACGACCATCCGAGACCCGAAGCAAAAGGAGCAAGCGAAGTCAGAAGATCGATAGGTGCTGGAAGACGAGTGCGAGGTCTCGCGTTACTACTAGCACGAGAAGCAGCGATAGCTGACAAAATACTTACCGGAAAACAAGAAAAGCAAATGCCACAAAAATTAAGCAGCAGTCACCTGCAACCACCACCTCTCATTCCAGATAATCAAAGAGGTAAGTTCGATGAATTCAAATCATTTTAATTTAAAAACTAGTTCTATTGACCTGTCTGTTGAAATCACAGTGTCAACGTCACAGTGGATTATGAATAATTACACATTATTATTCCGTAATCCTTCCACTGAGTAATAATGCCCTCCAGAACGAATTTCGGTCGCGGCAACCAGTCTGAACGGAGACTGACCATCTGCGCAGTACAGGATTATAGTGCCCGAGTGCATGCGCAAGTACAGATGCACTCTTTATTCCCTCACTCTCCTATTGAGAAGGTAATCTGACCCAACCGGAGAGAGATGAGGCACAGGGCCAACGCCTTTACCTTCCTAACTCCGGGCTGATAGGTACTGAGAATTTCTTGTCAGAAAATCCTAGTCTGGCTTGAGATTCGAACCCGGTACCTCGTGATCAGTAAACCGTGTTTACGACCACTAGACCAACGAGGCCGTCATGCGCTCATTGATTAATATAGGTATCGATTTAATGTACCTATAGTATGTGCCTATAGTGACGAATTCTCTTACGCAGCCACCATGCGCTATGACTTCCTTAGTGGACCCCCGGTAATCCGACAAACATTTTGCTGGGCTGTGTCGGACTATCGAATTTGTCGGATTATAGACCCCTATAGTCCGGAATCTTTTACGAAAGAATACCTTGCATTCCGACAAATTACAGATCCAATGATAAGATTCTATATGTTATATACAAAAAATATATATATATATATATATATATATATATATATATATATATATATATATGTGTGTGTGTGTGTATGTATATACCTACTACATAATGTAACATAATGAAGTATGATTCGAACTCTGAAGTACCTACAAACCATACTTCAATATGTATGTCAAATTTAGTAAATTAAACAACACAATAGAAAGCTAACGTTTTATTATAAAATTAACGTCATTAATACCATAGAACTTACAAAAAATATGCAATAACTTTACACTAGAAAATAATTGAGTACAAACAATTGTACGTACTAAAATAATCAAAAATTATGAATCAATCAATTTAAGAAGCATCAATTTAAGAGCGGTATCAAGAAACAATAACGCTTTTCGAGGAAAATGATGATATTTCAACCATTTTCAGAATCAAATTTTTCTGTCAGAATCAAAACAATACCCTACGCATCTAGGGTTGCCAGGTCTTAAAACCGAAAAGCCGAACAGACCAGCGAGCTTAGCCGGACATTTTGGTAAATAGGTCGGACACCCTTATTTTTGTCTTAGTAAACATTTTTTTAATGTAAAACAATGCTTTTTATCATTTACCGTAAAATCTTCTTAAGTTCTAACGAAATAACAACAAATGCATAAATCGGTCATCTTTATTATTAATTATTCAATATTCATTACAATATTAATTTCAATAATTGCAATAGTATATGTATGTGTAAGTACATGACAATGTAATGTACAGAAAAATGTAAAGAAATTTTCAAATTTAAACAGCCTAACAAAAACCGGACACTGTCTTATTTGGCCGGAGACGCAACTAAAAGCCTGACTGTGTCCGGCTTTATCCGGATGGCAACACTATACGCGTCAAGCACAATAGTCGTGGTGCGTACAAGTTATAACTTGTTCAATCATTCATTAGGGAAGATTTTCAAAAAATATTCAATAATAAATAATAGACCATGTCGGATTAGCAAGGGCTGCCGGATTACCGGAACTCCACTGTACTTAAATATCATAAGTATTTTTTTTACTTGATATTAGAGAGAATTTTTTGTTTTAAGAAATTTCGTTCTGAAAATGGTTGAAAGATCATCATTTTCCTCAAAAAGCGTTATTTTTTTCTTGATACCGCTCTTAAATTGATGCTTCTAGGTAAATATCTAAAAATAAATAGTTGTAAAAAATAAATGACGCACTAAAGGCGACTGATATATTATACCGTAAACTGCCGCAACATTGCCTCCCATAACTTTGTCATTTTTTACATCTGCAAAACGAAATCATAGTAATTTGAAATAGAATAGAAGTGGGAACGCAAAACAAAAGCAGTCATGTTTTAAAACCTCGTATACGGCCCTAGGGCGGTGCGACCATACCGGGCGCCGTAATCGTGGGGGGGGGGCGAAATCAACCGAAACGCTACCACCGGGCACCGGTCACCAATTCACTCACTCTTATCGCTAACATTCCGTTTTGTTGACGCTCATTAGGAAGTCAAAGAGTATTTTGTTGCTTACAAGCCAGTAAGTGGACTCTTCGGAAAAATAACTTACTGGCCTCTTTCTTGATGCAATTGTACAAGTGTTTGACTTAGACATGAATGATTGTCGAGGTCAAAGGTACAACAATGGTGCGAACATGGCAGGAAAATTAGAGGTGTTCAAACCAGAATTTGACTCAAAATTCTCGGGCATTTTTCAATCCATGTTGTTGAAGTTATTGATATCCGAGATCATGCATAAGACACGTGTTTCCTTAATTAAGTAGAGCATGGATCTCAATTTTAGACGTAGGCTTTGGAATTGATGGGGAATGCCCCAAATTCAAACTTAGTATGAATTAGGGTAGATTCACTTCTATCTTCCAGGCAGACATTTTCATCATACTTCAGTGTGCAGAAATCAATCTGCAAAAACACTACGTCAATCATATAATCTATATAAACTCTGATAGTCAAGCAGCATTGCTAGCGCTGAGATCAAACTTAGTGAACCCGAAGCTAGTAGGAAACTGCGTGAACCGTCTAAACGCCTTGGGTCATCAGGGTCGTTTTAAGATGGGTTCCGTGCAACGCCTATATTGTAGGCAATGAACTTGCCGATGAGCTCACACGAGAGGGCATAAAGAGTACACAACTTAGAACCGAGTCACTTTTTGGAATTTCAAAAGCCTAGCCTGATTAGTGGACCCTTGAAATTCTTTATCACAAAACCTTAATCCGGACTTTTGATCGTGAATTCGCTTTAGAAACCCTGGGATTAGTTAAAAATAAACTGTGCATTTCGGCAAAAGCCCTGACTGAACACTGTTGTCTTAAAAAGCACATGGCCATCCTGGGACTAAACAACTCAAAGATTTGCCGGTTTTGTTCGCTAACGGATGAAACACCTCTGCACGTCCTGACTGATTGTGGACCTATACTGTAGTTATTTTATCTTTTTAACACTGTCTGCAGAACAACAGTTTAAATGAAATTTGTCAAACGAGATTATTACCGTATAGGAACACTAAGGTTTGTATTTAGAGGGGCGCCACGATCTCGCACCACCTAAAATTTTTGCTAGGGCCGCCACTGTAGATACCTTATATAGCTCACGTTATCAGCGATTGAACAACCATCGGTCGTAGTCCTATATTGTTTGGCGCCACAAACTTTTGATATAAGTTGAACATTAATACTTATATCTGATTATTTTTAAAAAATACTTAAAGTAACAATATTTCTTTATTAAATTTAATATTTATTGCCTTCATTGTATAGAATTCGATAAAATTATATTTAGGCAAAGTTGAGAACGTAATTTAAATTATTTGCCCTATCTTTGCCTGGTGCAGGGTTGTCACTTGTCACAATACGAGTAAGTATATATAGCTAGGTTCGGCGCTATCAAGATTGCAACAAAGTTTTTAGTTAGTTTGATATATATACCACACCGAACTATTGTCGACAAAATTAAAATAAAAGTTACCGAGTATCAGTCAAGTTATTTTATTTAGGGTGTAGTCATGCATAATATGATTAAGTACTTAAGTATTTTCGGTCCAAAAATGAAAGAAAAACAGCACATAGTACGAAAATAAAGACTTTTTTATTTTTTTTAAATAATTTTAGCACTTTAATGACAAGTTAAACCAAGTTTTAACCCACTGTAGAGCCGAACTTAAAACTGCAGTGAGTTGAGACTTCGATTGACGAGAACTGCGAATAATTAGGTAATGATGATAATTTAAATACTTAAGGGTTGATTTAAACAGAATAAAAAGTTTAAAAAATTATTTCTTGTTTTATGCCACAGTCCTAGGCAATATTGATAACTGTATGAAAACGTAACAAAATTCTGTCCTAACTTTGCCTCGTCATATATACAGAGAAATAATTCTCAAGTAACGATAATGGAATAACAATCTAGTATGATACATTTATATGGATAATGATCACATCCGTGCCATCTTACGAAATCGGCAATGGGCAAAGTTTCCGCCAAAATCCAGTCCTAGTACTATAAACAAGATCCTAACTTAAACTTTATTTCTCATGCAATAGACTTCAATAGATTTTATAAGGTATCTATATAGGCAAAAATGTTCAAAATCCAGCCAAAGTTGCGGCAGTTTACGATACGTAAAAAATATCACCGGATTTCATCTCTTGTCGACGTCATAGGAAAAAGTATGGAAAATACAAAAAATTTATGACCTCCGATATTAAATATTAAAGGCGGCACAGGGAGCAACGATGAAGCAGCAAGATATTTGCTACTGTAAACTACAAAGTCGATTGTCCACCTAAAATGTTGCGGTTATTGCTTAACCTCCCCACAATAAGAAATGCCCGTCTCTGCCTGAGGACTTATTACATGGGCCGTAGATTAAAAATAATGTTTGTGTAATTATTCCCAGTATCTACAAAACTATCGGATCTACACACTCGCTTCTCGCTGCTTGCCAACTTTTGTCTAGTTTTTAATTCTAATCGCTTCTCGTTCATCATTTGCGGTGGGACAAGTGCCTTTGTCTTCAAAACTCCTTTGAATTCGCTCAATTTAATAATGGTGCAATTACACTTGGTCTCCACAATGAAATATGATATAATGGTGCAATTACACTTGGTCGTTAGCCCGTATTCGGGTGCACGAAAGACGTTACTCGAATTCGGGCACCCGAAGCATTATTTACATTACATTCTTTTACTCGAATACGGGCAAACGACTCTGCGCCCGCGTTCAGTGAGGTACGTGTCTGCGTACGCCATGAGATCCGGCAAAACCGCGTCGAATATCTTGATTCGGGTAACCAAAACGAAGGCGGGCGTACTCGACTCTGTTCATTTACACTTAGTCGTTTGTCCGAATTCCATAGGCACCCGAATACGGACAAACGACCAAGTGTGATTGCGCCTTTATTTAACAATTTATTATGTACCTACACACAACCAACCAGTTAAAAGTTTGTACAAGGACGCTTCTTATTTCATAATGAAATTTCTGCTAGTAGGCCGGTCTATAGCCATTACATAAATTATTACAATGTTTGAACTATCTATTTGGATAAAGCTATGCAGTATGCATCATGTCCCGCTCCCGTAGTCGTCCCGATAGACGGTATATTCATCTCATATTTACCTAATATAAAACACCTAAACAGCAATAAGATCTCTTTAAAAAAAAGTAAGATGTTTGTTAATGCCACAGCTTAAAGACCTGTGGCAATGCGTTTGCTAATCCGCTTATCGAGCGTGGCGATTACGGCAAACTTCTTCAACTACAGAGAGAGGCCTATATTCATTAGCAGTGTCTGGTTTATTTCATTAGTTTTTTTATAGGATAAAGTTGACAAACGTGCACACAGTAGACCTAATAGTAACTGGTTGCTGTGGTCCATAGACATCTACATCTATCCTCGATTACGAATCAAAATGCAGATGCGTTGTCACTCGTGCTGACTTAGATGGGATGCCTCGTTTCTAGTAAAAAGGGTCTCCGGTTCTCTACACTCACCATAAGAAACGGCAGCGTTAAGCTGCTATTTTACGCTGGTATTCTGTGCGAGCGTGGTCCATCCCCAGTCCAGCCGAACCATTCGTGTTACAACTATACTACTAATAGATATAGCTGCAGGATGACATGAGCTCAAATCTTTAATCTTTTTTTTTATTCCAACAGTTCTAACTTGTACGTGCGGACCATTTGAATGCAACTGCCGATGGCGTAACGAAACACCTACTGAGGCCTACTCAACTACGACGTGGCAACCAGTGGAACACCAGACCTACGTAACATACCCTCCAGCACCACCGGCACCATCATTGCCGCAACACCAAACTTACGATACTTCATTACCCGCAGATGATATTTTCCATCCAGAAGAGATCTTCCAATTAGACCAACCTATCAGACTTGACTTTCCGATAGAGGAGAACACGCTAGAATCGCCACCAACCTTCGCCGATCTTAACAATGACAATTCGAGACCTGAAGACGCCTATTGGCTGGATTGGCAAAGAGCTGCCGGTGGGTCGGAGTCAAGCGAAACTCCCTCGCCAGAACTCTTTGGTAATGGATATCAGCACCCTGAAGTATTCTGTGATCAACAGCCATATCCACACCAACTATATTACCCGGAGGAGGCGCAATATTATCCTATTGAGGGTTCTAGAGAATCGCCAAATATGGATCTGCAGGAACGTTACTACAGATATGGTCAAGACTGTGTTCAGAATAATATGGACATGCAGTCGTGGAACTACTCCGATTGTGCGTTCGCATCGCATTTTGATGCCCAACACTCGCAAGTAGTGAACACGTTCGGAGGTCTATTATAATGTTCCTGGATAATTATGTACATAGTGTATTGTAAATTGTAAATAATTTATTTTCGTCAAATATATTGTACATTCCATATAGCTTTATTACATCTTAAATGTGGAGAAACACTTTTCATTTATTGTTTCACCTAATGTTTTGGCTCATATAAATAAAACAATGTTTTTTTACAAAATCTTCTATTTATTGTATATAAAAATTACATTAAAATTGTCAATTTAACATATTTTTTTATTTCTAACGATAAAATTGGTCACTACAAAATAGTCCATAAAGCGATCACACATTGAATTTATATATTATGCATTTGCAAACGTGAAACAATTTAAAAACAAAAATACATCATAATATTACAATATCAAAATAATATGAAATGTTTTAACAACAACGCAGCATTTGATTACCAGATTATAATTTGCCAATACTTCAGCACATGTGGGAGTGTTATTTAAGAATAGCCTTTGCTTGAATTTTAAATGAAATATTCTCGACATTACTGCAGCTGAGTAACTCTAAGGATTAACAAGTTTTTACATTACAAATTTAGTAATCATTGATACAACCTAAAACATTATTTCTAAGACAAAAGTTCGTTTTTTAAAACATTAGATGTTAATTAATAAAAATCTTTTCACACATTTACTTATCACCTGATATTTAGTATTGCTAAATACTATTTTAACGCACAATTTATCCCTATTTTATATAAATAATTACATTTTTCATTGTGGAGACACTTATTGCAGAATCTTGAACACCACATTTGGGCCAAAAGACGTGATCAGTAAAAAGCTTACTTCATTTTAGTTCAAAACTTGTATTACTTTACGTCCTTAGCAATAGGCCCCTTAATAAACTTAATTAAAATGTTTTTAATGTTTTATATTCGTAAAATTATTATTCAAAGGGTTGAGGAGAGCACAGCACGCACTATCACAGCAGTCGGCAACCCGAAACAGTGTCCCTAACCCCAATTAGATTCCAAAGAAAAAACAGGACCATACTTAAGGTTAGAGACACAAATAGCCCCATGTTGGGAGCCATAATAATAAGGCCACAAATAAATTTTAACATGAAGCAATGCCTTCTTGTTGAAATTTACGCTTCAAAAACTAAATACACTAGCACGGAAACCGCTAGAACAATATTTCGGACGCAAGTCTGTGCGGTTAAACAAGAGATTGTGATATCCTTAAACACGTAACTCTATACCTAAAATGCCAGATTTTAGAGTCTAAACGTTGTAACTGAAGCGAGATCGTTTATTTAAGCGTCATTGTATCCTGCATAGAAGCTAACACATGCTTAAAAGGCGAAATTCTAACCTGAGTAACTAGTATGTTCTACTATAACTACTATGACTTAGATATCAATATAGTGAGACTTAACGATAGAAGTATTATAAGAATTAAACTTTTTATTTCGACCTGTAATTAGAAATTTGATATAATCATTATATTTTGTTGGATATTCTACGCATTGTAATATACCTATAAAACTATATATGTTAGAATACATTATTATAATTTTTGTGCTATTGATAAAGTAACACATAACCTTAATCCAACAAATCCTAACTCACACATTCATGTATTTAATATTGCAAAGGAAACTAAATCAATAACACAACACAAAAAGAAAACAAAAATAAATCAACAAAACAGCAATTCAAAAAAAGTTTATTACTTTCAAATATCAAATATATTATTTGGAGGGCTAAATAGAAAATTTGTACTATAAAAAAAATATCACCAACTAGTAAAGTAATTTATATGGAAGTATGCAACTTCCTAAAATCATTAATAAAATAAAAAAAAATTAAGAGTATCTTTCTCAAAATTAACAATGTGAAAAACTATTTTTAATGTTTCAAGAAACATCTATGAAATTTATTTTAAAATCATCTCTACAACTTTATACAAATTAAAAGCAGATTCACCAATTCCTAGCAAAATTTTGGTGTCATCAAAGACATTTCAGTACATTACTTTTTTATGTAACTAAGCCTTTGGAAGACATCAACTAGGTGGAAATGTAATATAGCAGTGACCAAAAGAACACACTTTTCCATCAAATTCATAGTTTATTTTTTCATCAAAGTGTATAACGAAAATACTTTTTACATATACTCGATGATTTTTTTACCATCTGGAAAAAATAGGGTGCGTCAGGTGAACGGAATAGAAGCGTATGGCACCGATACTTTACATTAACATATGAAATTGATCTATCAATAAATACTACTAATTTGGTATGTATTATTTCAATTTCAATAGTTTTTAATTGATTTATTTATTTCATTCAAAAACTTTGTTGTTATTATTTTAGTACCTACCGAAAGTTTATTTCAAATTAGTAGTATTTATTGATAGATCAATTTCATTAATATGTTATTGTAAAACAAAATAAAAAATTATAAAATATCAGTGCCATAGCCTTCTAAATCGTGCACCTGTTACACCCTATTTTTTCCAGACGATAAAAAAATCACCCAGTATAATAGTAAGACTGATATTTAATATTAGGAGGTTAATTCGCAAGGAGGCATCCCTAAAATATATATATATACATATTTTATATAATTATTTTTATATTTTTATTAATTTATATATAATTTAGTAATCAAGGACTTAAATTTAAACACAACTTGTACAAAGTTGATATTTTTAGTGCACTAAATCATGCATGTCTGTCAATATTAGTGCATTATTTAACAATCAAAAATGAAAGTTTCCAGCTTTTAAACAAAACAATTCTGACACTTTTTTTTTGGTTTTCTTGAATTAGGTACTTACTTAGAAAACAAATTAATGTAACAAATTCTCAATCGAATGTAACGAAAATGTAACATTCTAACAAAAGACAAAACTAGAAAATTTATGCCCAGTTATGAAATTAATTATATATTATATGTATTTACATGCAAAATATCTAAAATTATACTTATACATTTTGACAGATATGTCATACAGAATGGCAATGTGTATAAAATGTGTTGTTACTATACTAAATGTATGTTATTATATTATATGTACTATTACAATACATTTTATGTGTGGCACTTCTATTGTAGGGATGTTTGTCATATAGGGATGATAAGAAATAAAGACCGAGAGTAAATCCTCTTCAGTTAAATAAATTATAGTAGATCAAATAATGACAAAATGTCCTCAAACCTCAAAAGAACCTGATTTAACTAAGCTTCTGTTACTTAACCCTTTGCTGTCCAGTGCACTACATATAGGTTATTGCTATTGTCTTACTATTGTGCCTGAAAATCGGACATTTAAAGTATTAACGTAAGGAGACACACACACAGCTGCCAGTTTAAAACAATATTCAGTATTAATTGGTGTATCGGGGCATTCACTATACAAGTTTATTACAGTTCAATTTTATATAATTGAAGGTCTTTGCAAGGTACAGTACAGCATCCACTAGCTGTTAAGTGCACTGGGTTATATTTATAACTTGCAATGCAATCCAATGAATGTTAAAAGCATTTGGTAAATGAGCAGTGCGGGTAGATGTGGATGTGGATGTATCCACTCAACTAGAACACTACTGTCACATCACTGTATTCAATGAGGGTTTTTCATATTCGCACTATGGTATTAGAAGTTATGTGTATGGAAGGTTTAAAAAGGTTTAAAAAGGTTATGTGAAGGGTGTGGCATTAAAGTATTTCCTAAACTACTTGATTATGGTTAATTATTGTTTAATATAAGTTTCTGTATCCAATATGATTGACATTTAAATGACCAGTATAACACTGGTGCATCCATCAGAGATAATTATAGTGAGAACAGTATTCACTAGGTGAGCAGTGGGGATGAGTGAGGATTAGATTTGACATCTATAAGACTATTGCATTGCTGTATCTACTAAATATTTTTATGGGGCACAGTAACACAAATACAGCACACTGTCCACTCTAGATTGGCAATGCAGTGGGCGACATTATGACATCTACTTATCAAACTGGTGGTAGGTCAATTTTCAGAAGACCTTGAAATAAGCCTAGACTGAGTGAATAAAATTTATTTTCTTAAAAAAATATTTTTGATTTCATATCATTTTATTTACCAAAGGTTCATTTTCATTTCTTGGAGCTACAAAAGGTAATTCCAAATCACAAAACAGTGTCCATTAGCTGCATGGTGCTTGTGGATGTGGGGTGTTATAAAATTTTAGTAGGATTTCATGTATTCACAGTATATTGTTGACAGTTACAGCACAGTTTCCAGTAGACAAATGGAGTATGTATAAGTGTCATGAAGATATTCACTATTATTTCAGTGTGGTTTACAATCATTAACTAATGTTAAAAATCGTTCATTATCACATCATTGCATCAGTCGTCGTGGGATAAGCACTGTGCAATTGTATGGGTATGGCAACAAAGACTCGCACCATACTTGATTATTGTGTGCTATTGTTCACTATGACGTCACAATATCTCGACAAAACAGTAGCCCCAGTTAGAAGCCAGGCAGTGCACTATGGTTCACTGTGAAGTCACAGTGTCCATGGGCACTAGATGGTCGATGGCGGGGAGCACGCGGCCTTAGCCCAGGGCGCAGCTTCCTACACCAATTCGGAGCCAGACAGTGCACTATGACATTACAGTATACACGGAGCACTAGACGGCCGGTGGCGGGGAACGTGCAGTAGGTAAGGGCGATGCCTCCCGCGCCAGCTCGGAGCCGAGCGGTGCACTATGGTTCACTATGATGTCACTGTGTCCACGGGGCACTAGGCGGCCGGCGGTGGATCAGGGCGCGGCCTCCTGCGCCAGCTCGGAGCCGGGCCATGTATTATGGTTCACTAAGACGTAACTGTGTCCACTGGGCACTAGGTAGCCGACGGTGGGTCAGAGCGCGGGCTCTTACGCCAGCTCGGAGCCGGGCGGTGCACTATGGTTCACTATGACGTCACTGTGTCTACGGGGTACTAGGCGGCCGGCGGTGGATCAGATTGCGGACTCCTGCGCCAGCTCGGAGCCGGGCGGTGCACTATGGTTCACTATGACGTCACTGTGTCCACGGGGCTCTAGGCGGCCGGCGGTGGGTCAGGGCGCGGCCTCATGCACCAGCTCGGAGCCGGGCGGTGCACTATGGTTCACTATGACGTCACTGTGTCCACGGGGCACTAGGCGGCCGGCGGTGGGTCAGGGCGCGGCCTCCTGCACCAGCTCGGAGCCGGGCGGTGCACTATGGTTCACTATGACGTCACTGTGTCCACGGGGCACTAGGCGGCCGGCGGTGGGTCAGGGCGCGGCCTCCTGCGCCAGCTTTGAGCCGGGCGGTGCACTATGGTTTACTATGACGTCACTGTGTCCACGGGGCACTGGGCGGCCGGCGGTGGGTCAGGGCGCGGCTTCCTGCACCAGCTCGGAGCCGGGCGGTGCACTATGGTTCACTATGACGTCACTGTGTCCACGGGGCACTAGACGGCCGGCGGTGGGTCAGGGTGCGGCCTCCTGCGCTAGCTCGGAGCCGGGCGGCGCAGCCCCGCGCGCCACCACGGCCACGGCGCTCACCGACAGCTCCAGCGGTTCGCCACCTGGGCACCGACCCACGCTGCACTCCATGTCCGTGCTGCAACCAAACAACATACACATTTTTATCATTGTGGCGGTGCAGTCGTCATGCTACAAGCGAAACACGTCGAAGCCTAAATCGCGCTATCAACGTTCCGAAGTAAAACAGTATATATAGAAAGGCATTGGCCGCTCCCCGGACAGAACACCTTGGCCGACGGAAGATCTCCCCTTTTCTTTCCACGGCCCACATCGTCATCATCTTCATCTTCATCTCATTTTATCATGGGCTATCAATGGGTATAGTTCGTGCCAAAAGCATGGGTCATTGACGGTTTTTTAGTTAATGTAATTTAACTATTAATCAATAATGGTCCACAGGTTTAAAAAGCTGTTAAATAAATAACAGGTTTTGAAACTTCAATTATTAGCGTTAATCGTCAATTTATTATTTCAACGTTTTGGATCAATAACAATTTTGTTGCAGATTAAGTTAAAGATTATTGATTTGATAAGAATAAATTCGTATCTAAAGGTTACTTTTATGTTTATTGAACTGGAATGACCATTCTTCGTACTTTTTTCAGGCTTAGGACTAGCTGGGTATATACATTATTCATCATTGCCGTGTAGTGGCGGTTAAGAATATCCACTACCCCATATCTTCCCGTGGGTGTCGTAAGAGGCGACAGAGGGAGACAGGCAGGAGATGGGCAGCAGCGTCTTCCTGATGACAACTGTGACGTAATAAAAAACTGCGGTTGCCAACCCGCTCGCCAAGCGTGGCAACTATGGCAAATACCCCCCAATGAATAAATACACAAACAGACGGCCCCCAGTCCCCCGGCGGCCCCGCTATTCCTGGCTACGGTGGCGACCATGGTAACGGCGGGGCAGGGGGTGCTAAGAATCTCCGGTGGAGGTTCGGTTGCCACCTACGACGACTCGACCTGGCAACATATAACGCACGCACCCTGAGGACTGACGAGAAGATACTGGAGCTGGAAGAAGAGGTAGACAAGTTGCGCTGGCATATTATTGGATTATCCGAGGTCCGAAGAGAGGGGGAGGACACGGCAATCCTCGAGTCCGGCAACTTGTTCTATCACCGGGAGGGCGACCATCTGTCCCAAGGAGGTGTCGGATTTATCGTCCACAAATCTCTCGTCAACAACGTTGTAAAGATTGGGAGTGTGTCGACGAGGGTCGCGTACCTGATACTCAGAATCACCAAACGGTATTCGCTGAAGGTCATTCAGGTTTACGCACTAACCTCGGCACATCCCGATGAGGAGGTGGAGGAAATGTATGAGGATATTTCCAGAGCCATACATTCCTCCAAAACCTACTACACGGTGTTGATGGGAGACTTCAACGCAAAACTGGGCACAAGAGAAAGCGGTGAGCTGAAGGTAGGGAAATTTGGAGTAGGGCAACGGAACCGAACGGGCCAGCAGCTGGCCGACTTTATGGAGAAAGAGGGACTCTTTATGATGAACTCTTTCTTCCAGAAGCGGCACCACAGGAAGTGGACCTGGTCGAGCCCCGACGGTTCGACAAAAAATGAGATTGACTTCATTATGACGACCAGACGCCAACTGTTCAGTGATGTCTCAGTGATCGCAAGGGTGAAAACTGGCAGCGATCACCGAATGGTTAGAGGCACACTGAACCTAAACGTTAAGTTGGAGAGGTCTCGTCTAATGAAGTCAACGCTCCGTCCCCCTCGTGCTCTAATCCAGAATCCCGAAACCTTTCAGCTCGAGTTACGTAACCGCTTCCAGTGCCTAGAAGATTGCAATGCAGTGGACGATATGAACGACAAGCTCGTGGAAACTGTCCATGCGGTCGGAGCTAAGTTCTGCAAGACCCGCCGCAGAAGAACACAAAAACTCTCCGATCACACTCTTAATCTCATGGCTGTTAGACGGGAGATGAGGCTGCAATCGTCAACAGATTTGACAGCATACAGGCAACTGAACAGACAGATCTCCAAATGCATACGGCGAGACTTACGCAACTTTAATACTTCTCGTATTAAAGAAGCGATCGAGCGGAACCAGGGCTCCAAAGTCTTTGCCAGAGATCTGTCTGCCAGAAAGAGCCAACTGTCAAGGCTGAAGACTGAGTGTGGCAACATCGTTTCCGGGACACCTGAGATTTTGAGTGAGATTGAGAGGTTCTATGGGCAGCTGTACACATCATCGTTGGAGCCACACGCAAGTGTGAGTAACGATCCAAGAGCAAGTCTTATCCGACACTATTCCGATGATATCCCGGACGTCAGTCTAAGCGAGATTAGAATGGCTCTCCAGCACCTTAAAAACGGCAGGGCCCCAGGCGAGGATGGAATTACAGCGGAGCTTCTGAAAGCGGGTGGAACACCGGTACTTGAAGTCCTTCAGAAGCTCTTCAATTCCGTCCTCCATGGTGGCACTACTCCAGAGGCGTGGAGCAGAAGTGCGGTGGTCTTGTTCTTTAAGAAAGGCGACAACGCTCTCTTAAAGAACTACAGACCGATTTCCCTTCTGAGCCGCGTCTACGTGCTGTTTTCGAGAGTCATTACGAATCGTCTCGCACGCAGACTTGACGACTTCCAGCCTCCCGAACAAGCCGGTTTCCGAAAAGGCTTCAGTACCATAGACCACATACATACCCTGCGGCAGATTGTACAGAAGACTGAAGAGTACAATCTGCCACTTTGCCTGGCGTATGTGGACTATGAGAAAGCCTTTGATTCCGTCGAAATTTGGGCGGTGCTACAGTCCCTTCAGCGGTGCCAAGTTGACTGTCGGTATATCGAAGTGCTGAAGTGTTTGTACAGTAGGGCTACGATGGCTATCCGAGTACAGAACCAGAGCTCGAAACCTATCCAACTGCAGAGAGGTGTAAGACAGGGTGACGTTATATCCCCGAAACTCTTCACCGCTGCATTGGAAGACGTTTTCAAGCTACTGGACTGGAAAGGATACGGTATTGACATCAATGGCGAGTACATCACTCACCTTCGATTTGCCGACGATATAGTCCTTATGGCAGAATCGCTGGAGGACTTAAGCACTATGCTCAATGACCTCAATAGTGCCTCCCAACGGATAGGTCTTAAGATGAACATGGACAAAACAAAGATCATGTTCAATGTCCATGTCACACCTATGCCGGTAGTTGTTGGGAGCACTATGCTCGAAGTTGTTGACGAATACGTTTACCTGGGACAAATAGTCCGACTAGGTAAGTCCAACTTCGACCGAGAGGTCAATCGACGGATTCAACTCGGCTGGGCAGCGTTCGGGAAATTACGGCATATCTTTTCGTCAGGTATACCTCAATCTCTAAAAACTAGATTGTACAACCAGTGCGTGTTGCCAGTGATGACTTACGGATCTGAGACGTGGTCCTTCACTGCTGGCCGTATGAGGACGCTTAAGGTCGCTCAGCGAGCTATGAGAGAGGGCTATGCTCGGAGTTTCTCTGCGTGATAGACTCAGAAATGAGGATATCCGCAGTAAAACCAGAGTGACCGACATAGCCCAACGGATTAGTAAGCTGAAGTGGCAATGGGCCGGCCATATAGCTCGAAGAACCGATAACCGATGGGGAAGAAAGGTTCTCGAGTGGCAGCCTCGTACCGGTAGGCGTAGTGTAGGGCGACCCCCCACTAGATGGAGTGACGACCTGGTAAGACATGCAGGAAGTCGATGGATGCAGGTGGCTCAGGACCGTGCTTTGTGGCATTACTTGGGGGAGGCCTATGTTCAGCAGTGGACTTGTGAAGGGCTGTAATGATGATGATGATGATCATTTTTTGTTTTTTTTTTTTTCCTTTGTTCTATTTACAATTACATTTCAAAGCTCATAACTTGCAAAACGGCCTCCGTCTAAGTTAACATTTCAAAATTGCAGTTTCTCTATTTTGCTGGTCTTGTTCTTTTTTGATTTACAATTAGCCCCAATTTGGAGAACGTTCTTTCGCATTGCACTGATGTTGCTATAGTCCGTACGCGTTAAGAAAATAGTGAGTCATCGTTGTCCGCCGGCCTGGCCACGCCCCCCAGCCCATTAAAATACAAGAAATTAGAAAGTCGAGTTCACAGTGACCAGTTGAAGTAAGACCTTCGAACAAAACGGTTGTGTATTTTGCGTGTTACTCGTTCAACATTAAATTTTGAAAATGAATACCTCACCTATTCGAAAGAATAAAAGTGGATCAATAATCCATAGCGGAGAGAGACGTGTAATTTACAGTGTTTATAAGTACTTTAAACTGTGTGATTTAAATGCGACTGTGGAGAGCACAGTAATAAAAACAGCAAGTGCATTTGGTGTGTCCGAAAATACTGTTTATAAAATTATTAAAGAACAAAAGGATACTAACACATTAAAATCACCCGTGAAAAAAAGAGCTCGACTATCGACGGTCGATAAATTCGATGAACTAGACAAATGTGCAATAAGGAGAAAAGTTCACTCTATATATATTTAAATAACGAATACCCGACATTGGACAAAATTATAATACTTTGCGAAGCTGATGAAGATATTCCTGTTTTCAAACGTACCGCACTTCATAAAATAATGCACGAGCTTGGTTTCGATTTCAATAAACAGGATAGCAGAACATTGTTAGTCGAAAGAGAAGATATTGTTTTATGGAGGCGTAAATATCTGAGGCAAATAAAAGAACAGACACAGAGCCGCTAATAAAACCATTTACTATCTTGACGAAAAGTGGGTAAACGCCGGACGCCGGACGGTAAAAAATAAAAGACAAGCCTTTCTAGATGGCTTATCAGCCGGTCCAAAAGCTCCGACAGGAAAAGGTAAAAGGTTAATTGTATTGCACATTGGCAGCGACAAAGGATTCGTGGAAGATGGACTACTGGTATTTGAATCTAAGTCTACAAAGGACGAAGAGATGGATGGTGAAAGATTCCTTAATTGGTTCATTAATATAATGCCTAAGCTAGAACCAGGAATTGTAACAAATAGAAAAAACAAACGCAAAAAAACCCCAAAAAAAAAAGAAAATACCATGTGGAATTTGGATGACATTATGGCACTTGCAGAACAAAATTCTTTCATAATTAATGTAACTGGAGAATCTAGCGATACTGATTAGTGATTTAAGTAATTTTGAGAAAATTTGTTTCTGTTAAACTTAATTAAATGTTTGAAAAA